GAAGAGCATGAGCAGAGGAAAGGAAATGGAATACCAAGAGCACAAGGCACAATATAGGCAACTACATTCACATGAAAAAGAGAAAGAGTACCTAGCACAACCCAATGCACATCAACCATGTCTACCAAGTTCTGCCATTGACTATTTGTTAAGTTATTTTAAAATCATTTGTTAAAGTTTATTTTTTTTAATAAGTATCAACATGTCAGTCATAACCTCTGCCTCTAATATTGGTTGGTGCCTTGTTTTCCAGTTGGCAAACTCTGAAGAATACATTGATGGGCAGTTTACTGGAAACCTTGGAGAGATTTTAATAAGGTATACTTGGATTGTCYGAATAACTTTTAAAGACAGGACAATTTGAGTTAAGAGTGATAGAAAATCATCTCTCTTCTTTCTGATTATACACTCTAGACGGATTCATGACCTATGAAAAAGTAAAGCAATCTCTCTTCTTTATGATAGTGGTGGCACAATCTTATCACTCCATGTAAGAAGTAAAGCAAGATTGTAAGCTTTTTTAGTTATGAAGTCATTTAGAATTCTCATGATCAAAAGGAACATTACGCAATAGTGTGATGTATCTTGTATGAAGCAGATACATAACTCATTGATTGTCACATTACTACAACTGTTTAGGCAGTGTAATATTTATCTGCCTATCTTTTGTACTGACATGCAAGCTTTCATTTGTGCAGTCTTTTGGTAAAAATCAAGTGATTGTCCGAATAGATTTTAAAGATAGAAAAATTTGAGTTTAGAGTGATAGAAAATCATCTCTCTTCTTTCTGATTATACACTCTAGATGAATTCATGACCTATGAAAAAGTTCTATTTAGATCTTGTCCACTCATGTCAGCCTTAATTTGCCTTGAGCTGATAGTGGTGGCACAATCTTATCACCCCATATTGATTAAGTCACTAAACAACCTGAAATAGTCACCTTGGTCACAGTTCGATAGATTTGCAAACAGATTGTCAAACATGAATACATTGAAAGTCAAGCTGGACATACCTTGTTCATAAAGTTTTATTTAACAAGGTCATTGATTCTCATTATCTTTGTGGCTAACATAATCCTAACAAAAGACGACTTAGAAAAATCTTAAAAATAAAGACATTTCTTGCATTAAAGTTTGAAATCAAAGGTCGACCTCCCAAAGGATTTTTGGGAATGGCTGATCGAGAGATGGAATTGCAAACTGGTGTATCTACCGAAAACTTTGGAAGATTTGTATGGCCAAGTTACTTAGAGGAATGACCCTTTTTAAGTGTTTGATCGCCTTGAACTAATGTAAATAATGAATTTTTTTGTATAGGTTTGTATGGAAAAACTACATTGGAGGAACAACCACTTAATTATGTCTCAATGTGGTTCCAAGGGATCCCCTATCAATATTAGCCGGATGATTGYATGTGTTGGTTAGYAATTAGTGGAKGCCRACGTGCTCCAAATGGATTTAGCCAACGTGCTCCAAATGGATTTATTAATCGAAACCTTCCCCATTCTCAAAGAATGTCAAAGACCCCTGTTGTATGTCTTGTGCCTCTCATGGTTTTTAAGTTAAATATTACTTGCTTTATATTTATTTCTTCGGTTTTTTAAGGGACATTTAGATTTGCTTTTTAAGAGACATTTATATTTGGATAGGTGTAGCGTCTCTTCCTTGAGACTTTAGTCCCAACAAGTAATCAACTTTATTGCTTCGATGAATCCAGTTTCATGGCTAATACACTGTATTATCCGATAACTTTATATATTAGTTGACTTGCAAAATGATAACTTTATATATATATAGGAGCGATCAAATGAAAACCACTCCAATTTGTAAAAACCGTAAAAACTACTCTCATATGTCGTAATCTTATGAAATTTTTTCATGAAATTGTTTAATCTTATGAAATTGTTTCATATAATACTTTTTTTGATGAAGTTGTTTCATATATGGTTATGAAATTATTTCATATACTACTTAATGAAAATTTAATGAAACAGTTTCATGTATTTCTCTAAAATTAAAATAATGAAGATGATAATATCCATGATTAACACCCTCCACAATAAAAATGGTTAATTAACCTCTCATAATTACAAAAAAATGAACAAAATAAAAAATTATGATTGATTGAATAAGATTTTCACTGTTTTTACAAATTGAGTGATTTTTATTTAAACGTTCATATATATATATATATATATATATATATCTATATATATATATATATTGGGGGGGTTATTTTACAACTTATTTTATTTTACGATTAATATAACCTCATCTTAATTATCAATAATATTTTCTACGGTCAGCATTTGCTCAGGTGGAAAAGTAATTAAAAATTGTTAAATGGATTTATTCCGTACATAAACAAACTCGAATGAAACATGAAAAACCATGAAACCATGTATAACCATGGAACATGATCAAAACATTGTTTCATGAATTAAATATGAAAAAGTTGACTTGAGTATACATTCAATGAACATAAATAAATTAATTACTGAATGGTTTGATGTAAAATGATTAACTGATTTTCATGATATGATACAAAATAAAATATAATTGTTTACAATGAAATTAGGATGCTGAATAGTTAAGGAAGACACATGACACAAAATCATTCAAATGATGTTAGAACCATTAAGAGACAAATTTTTTTTTTTTGCCAAACAAGATTCATCTCTTAACGATTCAAATGTTGTCTCTTAAAAAAACTATTAAAAGGTAAACATGCTAATTATTTCCATAATCAGTTACAATCCAAATATAAAAATGAATTCCAATCGATTAGAATCTTAATAGAAAACAAAATTGAATACCACACAGGTAGTAGGGTTGTAAACAAGTCGAGCTTCATAACACCAATGTTTGACTCGGCTAATTCAAAAACTTGATTAAAATTTTGGAGCCGAGTCGTGCCATTCGAACATACATTTTTTCAAGCCAAAATCATCTCAGTAAATTTACGTTTTTCGTCCCTATGGTTTGTTAGAAATTGTAATTTTTGTCCTTATAATTTATAAAATTGTTGTTTTCATTTTTACGGTCTGTAATTTATTGTTATTTATTTAATAGATCACATCACATAACAAAATTGTAATCTACTCTTTTTGTTATTTCCTTCCAGTTTTCTTGAAACTTGTTATTGTCTGCTTCCATGATTTTTGTCACAACCACTGTTTTAAATTTGTGAGAGAAACACCAAAAGTCAAGATTTTAACATCTTTTATCAATCGAACATGACTTCCACTTCATCTTTTATCACATCTCTTTCGTGTTCTTCATCCTCCGCCATGGCCACCGCCGACGACACCTCCTCCGGCGTCCTTCAATGGCTAAGCTTCATCTTCCTCTCTCCATGCCTACAAAAACTCCTATTAGCTTTCATCGATACCCTCTTTCTCATCATCCTCTTCCTTTTCAAAATTCAAAAGCTCCATTCAAGCTTCATCACCTGCAACAATGGCGGTTCCGCCATTAATCAACCTCTAGTTCCCAAACCCACCAAAACCAGTCTCTGGTTCAAACTGTCTCTTCTCATTTCTGCCATTTTAGCTCTTTTATCCATTATTTCATCCATTTTAGCTTTTACCCAGAACACCCAGATGCCATTAAAGCTCATAAACGGAGCTTCTTGGTTAATTCAAGCGATTTCCTTCGTTATCATCACCATTTTCATCAATTCTCGAAAAAGATTTCAAGATTCAACTCATCCCATCTTCCTTCGTGTTTTCGGGATCGTAAACTTCATCGTCATTTCTCTAATCGCCATTTCCGGTATCGTTCGTTTGGTTTCGAGCACCGAATTATCGAAATCTGGCGACTTGATCGCGTCCGTTTTTCTGCCATTTTCGGGTTTCTTCTTCGTTGTATCTGTAACTGGTTCAACTGGGATTACAGTGATCCAAGAATCTGATGAACATGAAGAATTGAGCAAATCTTTCGTTAGTGGATGGGCATCGGCTTCAATATTTTCGAAAACGTTCTGGTTATGGATGAACCCGTTGTTGAAAAAAGGATATAAAACTCCGTTAACCATCGACGACATCCCGACGCTTTCGCCGGAACACCAAGCGGAAAGAATGTCGTTGCTTTTTGAACGTAACTGGCCCGAACCCGAAGAGAATTCGAATCATCCTGTTCGAACCACGCTCCTTCGTTGTTTTTGGAAACAGATTGTCTTTACGGGCTTCTTAGCAATCGTACGGATCGGTGTTTCGTACGTCGGGCCGTTACTGATCCAAAGATTCGTCAATTTCACATCCGGGAAATCGAATTCTCCGTTTGAAGGGTATTATTTGGTATTGATTCTTCTCGTTGCGAAATTTGTCGAAGTTTTATCGGCGCACCAGTTTAATTTCCACTCTCAGAAGCTCGGGATGTTGATCCGATCGACCTTGATAACGGCTCTATATAAGAAGGGGTTAAAGCTGTCGAGCTCGGCTCGACAAGCTCACGGTGTTGGCCAAATCGTGAACTACATGGCGATAGACGCTCAACAGCTCTCGGATATCATTATTCAGTTGCACGCAATTTGGCTCATGCCGGTTCAGGTTGCGGTGGCGTTAGCCATTCTTTACGGGTACCTTGGTCCATCGACCGTGGTCACGTTGATTGCGATTATTTTGATCTTGGTGTTCGTTATCGTGGCTACGAAAAGAAGCAACCGGTTCCAGTTCAACATAATGATGAGCCGTGACTCGAGGATGAAAGCCACGAACGAGATGCTTAATTACATGCGGGTGATCAAATTCCAAGCCTGGGAAGAACTTTTCAACGAGCGAATTCAGGCGTTCCGTGAGTCGGAATACGGTTGGCTTTGCAAATTCATGTATACGGTTGGTGGAAACATGATCGTTTTGTGGAGCACACCTTTGTTCATTTCGACAGTCACGTTCGGGAGCGGGGTTTTTCTCGGGATCGAGCTCGATGCCGGGACCGTTTTCACCGCCACGTCGCTGTTCAAGAACTTGCAAGAACCGGTTTGGAGTTTCCCGCAGTCGATGATCTCACTCTCTCAGGCGATGATCTCTTTGGGGAGATTGGACGAGTTTATGATCAGTAAGGAGTTGGAGGAGGGTTCGGTAGAGCGGGAGGACGACGTCAACACCACCACCGCCATCGAGGTCCAAAATGGTTCTTTTAGCTGGCATGACGAGCCTTCAGAAGGTGACATTATCAAGAACTTGAACTTCGAGATCAAGAAAGGAGAACTTGCAGCCATTGTCGGGACCGTAGGATCCGGGAAATCGTCACTACTTGCATCCGTTATCGGCGAGATGCACAAAATCTCGGGGACGGTGAGAGTTTCCGGGAGCACCGGATACGTTGCACAAACAGCATGGATTCAAAATGGGACAGTTCAAGAGAACATTGTATTTGGTTCACCAATGGACGGAAACAAGTATAAGAATGTAATAAGAGCTTGTAGCTTGGAGAAAGATTTAGAAATGATGGAATTCGGAGATCAAACCGAGATCGGGGAGCGTGGGATAAATCTCAGCGGTGGCCAAAAGCAGCGGATTCAGCTCGCTCGAGCTGTTTATCAAGATTCCGACATCTATCTTCTTGACGATGTCTTTAGTGCCGTAGATGCTCACACCGGTTCGGAAATATTCAAGGTAATCATAGAACGACACCCGCTTTGCTCCTTTCGATAGAGATCATGTATGCATACATCCCGCCCCAGACCCTGCCCCTGGGTGGGATATACCATGGTTGCTTGGTTTGGTTATCACAGACCGATCCTAGTGTAACGTTTATCATATTCGTATTTCTATACAAATTCTCAGAAATTTCGTTGCAGGAATGTGTGAGGGGAGCGCTCGGAGACAAGACCGTCTTACTCGTTACCCACCAAGTCGACTTCCTCCATAACGTTGATCTCATCCTTGTGAGTAATATCTTTCGGTTTTCAAGGTTTGGGGCTTCGGGTTTGTGATTGTTTTCTGTTAGAATATTTGAAACCCCTTCAAATTCTCTCTAAAAGAGCCTTTACAAAGGGTCAGGTTCAGAGAAAAACCACACAAAAATGAAAAACGGAGCAACACATTGGTAACCGTTACAGTAAGCACATGTGTATACAAATAATTTTTAAACAATTTGTCCGGTTGCACACGTGCATAAAAACCAAGAACCAATTTCAATTACTTGTATGCACATGTTCATCTCTACAGTATGCACATGTGCATATAAGTAATTTGTCCGGTATGCACGTGTGCATGTTGTATAGAAACCAAGAAACAACTTCAATTACTTGTATGCCCATGTGTTTATTATTCAGATGAACGGTTACCAGGTTGTTCCCCAGTTTTTCATTATTTTGAGGGTTTTCCTATGAACCTCCTCCCTATATGTATACATATGCATACAAGTAACTAAAGTCGTTTATTGGTTTCTATGCATGTGTGCATGTTATGCACATGTGTAGGCCGTCCATATGAACGATTATTAGAGTGTTCTGTTTTTAATTTTTTTTTGCGGTTTCCCCCAAACCTGACCCTATACACACACACACACAGATATATATATATATATATATATATATATATATATATTTGATGGTATGTATCTAGCTGATGTGAGACTCCATACACCCTTTTCTAATTAAACTTACCTCTCTCAGGTGATGCGCGAAGGGATGATCGTCCAATCAGGAAAGTACGACGAACTGGTTCAATCCGGCCTCGATTTTACAGCTTTTGTATCTGCCCATGAGACCTCAATGCAGCTAGTACAAATGGATTCCACTACACCAGAAACCATCACAAAATCTCTTAGCCATAATACCAGAAACCTGAAATCAGAAACCAACGAACATCACAAGTCTTTAGAACGATCCCAATCAAGTTCTATCATCGGAACATCAAAACTGGTTGAAGATGAGGAACGAGAAACAGGAAGAGTCAGCTCGTATGTCTACAAAGTGTACGCTACCGAGGCTTTTGGCTGGTCGGGTGTGATTCTAGTTTTGTTGTTATCGATCGTGTGGCAAGCAACACAGATGGCGAGTGATTACTGGTTGGCCTACGAAACTTCGGAGGATCACGCTGCATCTTTTGACCCTTCTTTCTTCATAGAAGTCTATGCCATTATTGCAGCCATTTCCTTCATCTTGATGATTGGCAGAATTGCTTTCTCTGTGCTTTTGGGACTCAAAACTTCACAAAAGTTCTTTAAACAGATTATTTACAGCATCCTTCATGCTCCAATGTCGTTTTTCGACACCACCCCTTCAGGAAGAATTCTTAGTCGGGTAATGTATCCTTTCCTTTCCTGGGCAAGAATTGTACTCTCCATCCCAAAATAAGTGTCCTTATTTCTATTTTACTTTGTCCCAAAATAAGGTCCACTTTCGGAAGTAAGTGTCTACTTTCCAATCCCACCCTTAATTATAGAGTAAATTCCGATTTTCGTCCCTGTGGTTTAGAAAATGAGACTTTTGTCCCTGTGGTTTGCTATTTATTGCTATTTTCATCCCTGGACTAATTCCTACCTTTTAAGTACAAGGGAGGGACCAAAACAGTAAATAATTGTAAACCACAAGGACCAAAACAACGTAAATCATACGGACGAAAGTAACAATGAATTCCAAACTATAAGAACAAAAACCGTAATTTATTTCTAAACCACTGGGATTGTCTAAAAACTGTGTGCTTTTTTCACTGAGCCCTTCATTTTGGAACGGAGGGAGTAGGAAGTACCAAACTTCCTAAACGTATCCGGGTAACCTGTAGATCCAAAACTCCCTCGAGGTCAAGGGTTCAACCCTCCACAGACCCTACCCTCACGGGATGTTTGGTTGGTTTTCCATTTAAGTCTTGTTGGATAAAGTTATTTGTGTGAACTAATCTGTTTGTATAAATTGGGAAGGTTTTTGTTTGGGAGAGTTTTTCATAGATGGAATGATCATGTTTTTTAATGAGAAGTTTAGGTTTGGAAAACTCTTGGTTTTCTGCAAAAAGCTCCTACTGTAGAACTCACTTTCTATATCATTAAGCCACTACCAAACAATCATGTATAGCCACCAAATAAACTGTGAGTTCATTAAGCTCATCAAGCTGCTAACAAACAGGCCCTCCGTGAGGGCTACAATGAGTTCGTTTGGTTTGGTTTGATTATATGATGTACCAACCGGAACTTATGCTTTTTGTTTGATGTTTTTCAGGCATCAAGTGATCAAACCAACATTGATGTGCTCCTTCCCTTCATGATGATCCTAAGCCTTGGTTTGTACATGTCTGTGATTAGTGTTATTATCATAACATGTCAATACGCTTGGCCAACCGTTTTCCTATTGGTTCCACTAGGTTGGCTCAATATCTGGTATCGGGTATGTGTGTGTGAAATCGTTAGAATATAATTTTGTACGTTATTTATTAAAGAGTCTCACATCAGCTACGGTCCCTTTAGACTCTCTATATATTGAAACCTCCCTTCTCTCTTTAAGGGCCCTTTTAGAGTAATATGAAGGAATTCCATATATATTTCCATGGTATTAGAGGAACCTCCAAGGACTAGTAATCTATCCACCCCCCCAACCCACCAGCAAATGATCTTTTTGACTGATTTCTTCAGGGGTATTACCTTGCTACATCTCGTGAAATAACCCGACTCGACTCGATTACAAAAGCACCCGTCATTCACCACTTTTCAGAGAGCATCGCCGGGGTTATGACAATCCGGTGTTTCAGAAAACAAGACAGGTTTGTTCAAGAAAACGTTGACCGTGTGGATGGAAATTTACGAATGGATTTCCACAATAATGGATCCAATGGGTGGTTAGGCTTCCGTATGGAGTTTCTTGGAAGCGTGTTTCTTTGCGTTTCCACCGTCTTCATGATCCTCTTACCTAGCAACGTCATTAAACCAGGTATACTCTCACTTCTAAACTAAGGGGCTATGTTGTTGTTTTTTCATTAAGGTCCTGTTTGTTAGTAGCTTAATGTATGTAATAGGACTCACAACTTATTCGGTCAGCTATACATGATTATTTGGTAATGACTTAATGATATAGAAAGTGGCTTATTCAGTAAGCTTCTAAGGGTGACCTTTATGCAGAAAGCCAAGTTTTTTCCGAACATGCCATTACCAATCAAAAAAACACGGTCCTTCCATCTATAAAAAAAATGGTCCAAAACAAGAACCTTCCCAATCCATATAGACAGGTTAATCCACATAGACAACTTTATCCAGACATAACTTAATGGATTAAGTTCCGTATGACAAAGTTCCCAAGGGGTTGTTTGGTTGGTTTTCCATTAATTTCTGTATGATAAAGTTGTTTGTGTGGATTAATATGTCTGTATAGATTGGGAAAGTTTTCTTTGGAAGGGTTTTTTCATAGATGGAAAGAGTGTGTTTTTTAATTGGGAGGGGCAGGTGCATAAAGCTCCTCCTTATAAGCTAACTGAATAAGGCACTTTCTGTATCATTAAGCCACTACCAAACAGTCATGTATAGCTGATCAAATAAGTTAGTCACATTAAGCTCATAAGCTGCTAATTCTGTATGGATTAAGCTAAAACTGCTACAGTGCTGTTTGTTCCTTGAGCTGAATAAACGGTTTGAATGACATAAATGACTATTTTACCCCTCAGTTTAGAGTAAATTTCGAATTACCTTGCCAATCTAGGTTTCTCTAGAGAGATGATCTAATGGGCGCTACTATGATTGCAGAGTATGTTGGATTGTCACTTTCGTATGGATTGTCGCTCAACGGTCTGCTGTTTTGGGCTTTATATACGAGTTGTTTTGTTGAAAACCGAATGGTTTCTGTCGAGAGGATAAAACAGTTCACTAATATACCATCAGAAGCAGAATGGCTGAAAAAAGACAGCCCCCCTCCGCCGAATTGGCCTAATCATGGCAGCGTGGAGCTCAGAGACTTGCAGGTACTAACCCGCAGACTGTATTTGGTATGAAATCCATAAACAAAACTTGACCACTCGATTGTTTGCTCATGAGCAGGTTAGATATCGTCCAAGCACGCCTCTTGTGCTTAAAGGGATTACTCTAAACATTCAAGGGGGCGAAAAGATCGGTGTTGTTGGTAGAACAGGTGGAGGGAAATCAACTTTGGTTCAGGTTCTGTTTAGGCTGGTTGAGCCCTCTGGAGGGAGTATTATCATTGATGGTGTTGATATCTCCACGCTCGGCCTTCATGATCTTAGGTCTCGATTCGGCATCATTCCTCAAGAACCGATCCTTTTTGAAGGCACAGTGAGAAGCAACATTGACCCTATTGGTCAACATTCTGATGAGGAGATATGGAGGGTAACATTGCTTACTCTTAGCCAGCTTTTCAAAACTTTATCTTATCTGATTCTCTATAGAAGTCCCACTTTTCACAAGACAGGGGTCTTCACGAAACAACCACTCTAATATTCCGGGTAGTGGTCAGGTTCGCATATATCTTACCCTCCCCATACCCCACCTTTGAATGGAATATACCGGGTTTGTTTGGTTTAGAGATGGAGGGTAAATTAGTCCTATTTTTTTCTTTCCCCATTTGTAAGATCCATGACTATATACATGTCATCTCTTTCTTTGACTTCGGGGTTGTTTGGTTGGTTTCCATTAAGTCCTATATAGATAAAGGTGTTTGTGTAGATTAATTTGTCTGTACAGATTGGGAAGGTTTTTGTTTGGGAGGGTTTTTTCAATAATGGAAGAAGCATATTTTTTAATTGGGAGGGGCATGTTTGGAAAAAAAGACTTGGCTTTCTGCATGAAAAGCCCCCTAGAAGCTTGCTGAATAAGCCACTTTCTATATCATTAAGCCACTACCAAACAGTCATTTATAACTGACCGAATAAGCTGTGAGTCTCATTAAGCTGCTAACAAACAGACCCTTACCCTCCCCTCACCGCACCTCTGAATGGGATATACTGGGTTTGTTTGGTTTAGATATGGAGGGTAAATTAGTCCTATTCTTTCTTTCCCTGTTTGTAAGATCCATGATTATGTACATTTATGTCTCTCTTTGACTTCTTTTGACTTAGCTAACCTGATAACCTGCTTTCTAGAGTCTCGAACGATGCCAACTTAATGATGTTGTGGCTGCAAAACCTGGGAAACTTGATTCCGCAGGTACTTAAAACTGATCAAGAAACAGTTTTTTTGGTAGTAAACGAGATAGACAATCTCTTTCACTTATTTGGTGTTTGTTTTTACTTTTTAGTTGTTGATAACGGCGATAACTGGAGTGTGGGACAAAGACAACTTCTTTGTCTGGGACGGGTGTTGCTAAAGCACAGCAGGCTGCTGTTCATGGATGAAGCAACGGCTTCTGTTGATTCACAAACAGACGCCGTGATTCAGAAAGTCATAAGAGAGGATTTTGCAGAGTGTACTATTGTTAGCATTGCTCACAGGATACCCACCGTCATGGATTGTGATCGGGTTCTAGTCATTGATGCAGGTAATTTTATCATTGGGGGAAAGTCCAAATGAGAACCGTAAATATCTTGAGAACTTCCAAAACCAACTATTCATGAACATGATGAAAATTATTCATAATGAATATACATGATATTCACCATTAAAGTGCATGATATTCATGATTATTTTGGGTTATTCTTTATGAATAATACATGAAATAGTTGGTTCCCATGTTCTCAAAATATTTGCATTCTTCACCTAAATAAGGTCAAGTTCTGTTAGGGTGTGTTTGGTATACTGAATAGGACAGAATAGGGATCACCATGTTTGGAATGACTTTTATGTGGAACAGACAGGAAGAAAGTGTAACAGACATGTTCCACCACCACCTCATGGAACAAGATGGAACAAGCCTATATTTTTATCAATATACCCTCAAAATAAAATCTACTTCTCTTCTAAAACATCAAATATGTTTTCTTCTTTACACTTTATCCATTCTTTAAATTTTATTTATTGTACTTTATCTTCTTTAAACTCCCTGTTTACTCTCCTCAAAATATTATTTTTATATGTTTTCTATATTTTGTTTAATTTATTAAATATTAATAATAAAAATAATTTAGAAAAGGTATAAAATAAAAATTGGAAATTTTAATAAACTTCATATTTTGGTGGCATTTTAACGAAAACTTTCTAATGATATGTTTTCTTAAAAAAATATTTATTTTATTATAATTCAATAAATTACATAAATTAACCAAAATATAGAAAGATATAAACAACTCATTAAGGGAAAATTGGTCATTTACGAGTCTTGTCATGTCCTGTTTTGTCATATCCTATTCTGTTCTAATCTGTGTGGGTACCAAACACACCCTTAAGGTCCACTAAGAGCTAACTTATTTGCCATGTGTTCTAACAGGGTATGCAAAAGAATTTGACAGACCTTCGCGTTTGATTGAAAAGCCTTCTCTTTTTGGAGCACTGGTTCAAGAATATGCAAACAGATCCTCTGGTTTATGATGATATATTTATATATGAATGGCATTGATGTTACTCATATAATTCAGAGAACATGCCTTTTTAGAAGAATAAACCATGATCTAGGCATCATCAGAAAGCAAAAGCAAGCTACAACTTATTAAACTTCTTACTTGATTGTAAAACCTCTATGTATACAAGGCTTCTACCAGTATGATGATGGTAGTGATTAGATTCCTAAGAATGCACGGGATTGCGATTGCCAGTGCTCCTTTGTCTGCCTAATCCTTTCTGCTCTCTCGGTTCGAAGCCTTTCCTCCCAATATTCTGGACAACTATAGAAGTTCATAAAATCCCAATTCAGATTCCGCAACTACAGATGACAACTCTAGAGATAGGTGTGTAACGCCCTTGGCCCAAAGCAACAGACGGGCTCAATAACCTTCAAATCAACTTAAAACCATGGTGGAAGTTATTGGTAGCTCGTAACTTTGAGCTTATAAGAGCATCTCCAACAGCTATGGCAAAATAGAGATTTAAGGGGCCGTTTACCAAATGCTTACTTGGGTAAGCGCTTACCAAGTTATATTACCTTATCGAATGAACATGGAAAGAACCATGAATCTTACCGGTAAGAGCGAGGCAAGGACCTAAAGTCTTACCCGGTAAGTGAGGGTAGTGACTCTTACCACGGTCAGCTCTTACCGGGTAATTCGTTGCATAGAAAGCCGTTTTTCGTTGACTAAAATCTTTCTCGGTAAGTAAATGATAGTGTTGAATTTTCCGCTAGATGCTTACCGGGTAAGTGTTTGGTAAACGGCCCCTAAGAGTTCTTTTTGCTCCAACAACTATGCTATAATGTATGCTAAAATAGTGAAAAGAAGAGAAAAACGGTGGAAATCTCCAAATTTGGAGAAATCTTTAGAACTCAATATTTAAGATAGAGAAATAATATTCAATTCTTTCCCACCAATAGAAACATTGAAATTAAATGTTTAGGAACTAGGAGAGAAAAATAATATTTTATTAATGTGTTAAATATTTTAATAATAAAGTAGTAGTTGGAATTGAATACAATTTTTTTAGAGATTTTGACTTTTGATACTTTATTTTAGAAAAAGAGTAAATTACGTTTCAGTACCTATGGTTTGTTAAATATTGCAAGATTTTCGTCCCTGTGGTTTAGAAATTGCAGTTTTCGTCCCTATGGTTTGTAATTTATTGCTATTTTCGTCCTTATAATTTACAATTTATCGTTGTTTCGGTCCTTGGTTTACAATTCTTTACTATTTTGGTCTTTTGTACTTAAACGCAAGAATTATTCCAGGGACAAAAATAGCAATAAATTGCAAACTATAAGGACAAAAATGACAATTTCTAAACTACATGGAGGAAATTTGAAATTGTTAACAAACCATAGGGACGAAAATTGTAATTTACTCTAGAAAAAATTATAGAGCAACTGTTGGAGGTGCTCTAAAGAGCTCACAGATTTAACTTCCTATCCATGTGGAACAGGTTCTTACAGGTGAGAACGTGTTTGGCACAGAAACAACGTACCTTCGACTCAGTAAAATGTTTAGCTCATCCAAATGGAGAGATCCCTGATAAACTCCTGCCTGTAAAACAAAAAAAAAACTCACCAAATGTTTATGATGGAAAGTTTAAAGAAAGATGGAACGGAGAAGGTCCATACTTCTCGACAAAGAGGACATTTTGCGGTAGGCTTTGTTGCCTTCAATCCATCTACAATTGTTACAGATCCCGACTTACAAGCACACATGAAGCAGAAGATGTGTCCACAAGTCAGATATACAGGATCGAATACAGTATCCTGATTAAACAAACATAAAGAACTGATAAATAACCCATCTTTGCATAAAGCCGATATTTGGATAGAATAAAGCCCTGCTGGGCTTGTTTAAGTGGCTGGAGTTAGTTGAGGATCATGAGTTTATCGGACATCAAAAATGTCCGAGTGTCCTAATAGACTACTTTATAGGACGTAAGTTTATAGGATCAAACACTGTCCTATCTAAAGGTGTTGTAATAAGTTTATATGACGCTTTGGGCGTCTTAAGAAGCTTTTTAGGACACTTCTGAAACAAAGTATTTTATTAGGACACTAATTGAAAAAAGTCTTATAAAAAGATGTGTTTATAAGACACTTCTTAAAAGGGTCCTATAAAAGGGCTAATAGGACACTTTGTTTCAAAAGTGTCCCAAAAAGCTTGTTAAGACACCTAAAAGCATCCTATAAACTTATCACAACACTTTTAGATAGGACACCCGGAGACAAAGGTTCGCTCTTATAAACTAAAGTCCTATAAAGTAATGTATTAGGACACTAACACACTTTTGGCGTCCTATAAACTCGACTTTGTTGCATTGAAGTCATGAGTTTTTTTTGGTAACGTGGGTGTCGCCAGGAAAATCCCCAGTGGCTCTAAGGAGACTCGAATTGGCAACCTATGGGTAGGAGCCCAAGGCCGAGCCTCTATTGGCCCACAAGGTTAAAGGTCATGAGTTTGAATCACATTAATGGGTTTCACCCTTCATGACAACCTAAGGGTGTGAGATCTGCTAGTTCTTCAAAAAAAAATTAAGAAAAAAGCATGGACTGACCAAGCATACGGAGCAAGTCAAGTCTATCTCAAGCTTGACGGTATCAGAGAGCTCACAAGAAAGCGATGGTTTTCCGTCACTAAATATGAGAGAGCAGCCCTCGAATAATTCAGAACCCTTCCTCATATCTGCCTTTGTTTCACTCAAATTAATATGGAAGGCGATAAGCTCGCAAAGCCATGGAGACTGAAGGATTTCCATGTGCATGCTCTTCACTTGTGACCTGAATGCTTGGCCTTGCTTAGAGTCATGTATCTGCAGTAAAAAGCAAATACTTCATGTTCAAGATGAAAAATTCTACCAGGAACAGACAGGCGAGAGTGACACAGGCCAATGAAAAAATTGTGGAAGGATTTAGGGACTTCATTTGACAAGGATATTTTAGTAATTTACCACCCTTGACAAAAAAAATGCATTTTTGTCCCACTCAGCCCTATCCGACGTGGGACTAGAAATTTTTGTTATGTCCTGTCGTCCTCTCCTGCATGCCAAACACAAAGAGACAAACGAACCTTATCATATTTCTTGAGGATTTTTCGCATAGCGATGGCATTGATAATTGCATAACCAACAAGGTTTTCGCCTTCTTGGATTAAAGCACCATGTTTCCCCTGAAACTTGTCTCTGCACCACACAAAGTATTTGCGGAACCCTGTTGCTAGATGAACATCAAGCACTTTCTGTGCACGCTTGTTAAAGCATCCAACCACCATAGACATCTCCTTCATAAGGGAAGGAAAGAAATATCCATCACAGACTACATAAAGATTTATTACAAACAAATTAGAAGCATCCAAAACCAAAGCGGATTGTACAAAAGTCTAACAAAATCATACCATTCACACATCATTACTTCAGCTTGTAGAGATTGACCAAATTTCAACTCTACCCAGTTAGAGCATCTCCAATGGTGGAGTGACTTACAAGAACCTCCTTTTCGCACTTTTTTGGTTCACATCATTGCTAACTCAACAAATTTAAAACTACCATAAAACTCCAAAATGGTAAATGAATAATAAAGAACCTCCTATTGTGGGTCTCATGCATTATTTCAACATCAATAATATGGAAAATAAAAATAAAAAAACTATATACAAAAGAGCTAATAAAATGTCACTTCACATAAAATTCAAGGTAAGAACCAAGGTTCTTGTTTGTACAAGCAGGGGTGTACCCACTATGGTGCATATGGTGGCACGGGCCACCTCCTCGTTCCTCCATTGTAGTGAAAAAAAAATTAGGGTCATGAAAGGTGCCATTGTATCACTTTGTTGGTGCAACGGTATATATTTTGAAACTATGATAATAATACAAGTTTCTCTTGGCAAACTTGGTTGTGCGGTCTTTTATCCCCTTCTAGGCGTGGATTCGAGTTCCATTTGTATCATTTTCTTAGTTTTTAGCTTTTAATTTCAGATATGTTATATTTCTGAAATTTTTTGGTATAAGAGACTCAAACACCTTACAAATGAAAAACACGGAACTTAGCAATGGACTAGTAATAATTTTGTAAAAAATATCCATACCGTCGTTTCTTATCGTCAAATAGTGTCACCAATTGAAAAAACTTCTACGTCCGCCTCTGTGTACAAGAACCTCAAAAATGTGGGTGACTTGTAAGAACTCTCTTCAATGGTAGTTCTTATAAGAGAGTGCACCTTTTGCTTATAAGAACCTCCGGTTGGAGATTATATCTTTGTCTCTCTCTACTCACTAAAAATGCCAAAGGGATTTAATGTCCTTCAGAAATTGGTTAAACATCTATGAATCTTTGGGGGGGGGGGGGGGGAATGCATTATATGAAATGGAAAGTTTTCATTTTGCTCATTTCTTTCTCATCAAAATCCAAACACCAAGTGGATTAATTGCTACGAATACAATTAGCTATAAAAAAATAGAGATAAGTTAGAAGAAAAAAATGATGCTTATGTGAACAATTCCAAGAAAACAGTACTGATTTATCTTGATCATCGTCTCCATCTATCTGTTTTCTTAAATGGGTGTTTCTCATCATATCTTGGTGATACTATTGGAATTCTTCCAGATTCCGATTACGGCTTTCTTTCACAAATAAGTTTATCATCTGGGTTTATGGTTCTAGTTTAAGATTTCACAAAAGAATAGCAAGCGTGTAACAAAAGCGCCTTTTTTGAGGCAATTCATCAAACATCTTATAGACAAAGTCAAGAATCATCGATGAAATCAAAACCCCACCAAATAGACACTGAATTAAGAATCAAAAACATCTATAAATCAACAAAATTGAGCTCATTCATACCAGGGCAAGGATGGAGGCAAAACCCCACCAAATAGATACTGAATTAAGAATCAAAAACATATATAAATCAACAAAATTGAGCTCATTCATACCAGGGCAAGGATGGAGGCAAAGCGCAGAAGTGTTATCAGAGGAATCATTAAGAAGCAATGACGATTGTGATTGCAAAGAACTCCGTGAATGATTCATATCCCTTCGACATCGCTTCAATATCTTCTTGAGATTTTTAAAACCCACACCAGGTAGTTTCTTCTGATCTTGTGTTTGCATGTACTCCTCGTATTTCTTACAGAACTTCATCTTCTTAATTCTCCCTTAATACCATCAAGAAAAAACCAACAATCTTGTGGCTTATTTAATGGCGATAGACCTGGGTTATTATGGAATGTGATTATGAGGAAGGGGTGGCATTCATCAACCACTGTTTACTAACTTTCTTGAAGAGAAAATGGAATCAATTTATTCCCCCCCTTCTTTTGCGGGTTCTTTGTACAAAAGGACGGTGGGGAATCATCAACTTCCGAGGATAAATACAAGAAAGAGTCAAATTCTCTTGCGAATTTCTTACATTTTCTACCCTTTTTTATTTTTAAATTATATTTTAATATTATAAAATATTTTATGAAATTAAAATGGTGTTCGTGCAATACATCCAGATACATCTTGAATTTAATTTTTCATTTTATTCTGTCGATGTAATAATATAATTTTATATGGTTTTCAGAAAACATTAATGCTTTTATTTTTAAATAAAATATAAATTTGAATATATCATAAAATTTTGAAGAAAAATTATCTATATTAATATTAAATTAACCATTTAAAAGTTCTTTTTTATAATTTTTTT